AAATGTTTTAAGACATTGGGTTTGTAATTTTAACATAATTATTTTAAATTATTATAATTTTATAATACTTATTTAAATATTTTTTATATCAGGTTGATCATCATTTTTATGATTTCGAACGCGATAGAAATCTTTTAGAAAGATTACAATCGTTTCTAGATACAGTAAGTGGAAAATCTATGAGAAAATGGGTAGATTCAGTAATAAAAATTGTGCAAAGAAAATGTGAACCTTCAGAACAACGACCTATTACATTTAGCTTTGAACGATCTCCACCACCTATTGAGTGGCATCTAAAAGTTCCTGAAGAAGAATGGGGAATATTAACGGTAATATATTATAACTATAATTAATATTATTTATATTATGTAGAAAATAAGTCACTTTTTATTATTATAGTTACATCCAATTGAATTAGCAAGACAATTAACTTTATTAGAATTTGAGTTGTATAGAACTGTAAAACCTTCAGAATTAGTTGGATCAGTATGGACTAAGAAAGATAAAGAAAAAACATCACCTAATTTACTAAAAATGATAAAACATACAACAAATGTAAGTAATATTTTATATATTTCATCTTACATATTTTAAAAAAATTTTAAATAATTTTTAATTTTTATAGTTTACACGGTGGCTGGAAAAAACAATAGTAGAAACTGAAAATTTAGAAGAGAGAGTCGCAATTGTATCGCGAGCAATTGAAATTATGATGGTGCTTCAAGATCTTAATAATTTTAATGGTGTATTAGCAATTGTTAGCGCAATGGGATCTGCATCTGTTTTTAGGTTAAAATTTACATTTCAAGTATGTTTTTATGTTAAAATTTTTAATTAATTTTAATATATAAAAAACAAATAAATTTTATTATATTTACAGCAAATACCAGCACGATTGGAAAAAGCTCTCGAAGAAGCTCGAGAACTAAATAATGGTCATTTTCGAAAATATCAAGAAAAATTACGATCTATTAATCCACCTTGTGTACCATTTTTTGGTAAATAATAAGGAATAAAACAACCTAATTGTTAAATTTTTTTAATTTTTTAATTTTTGATTAAATTTTTATAAATAAATTTTTGTAGGCATGTACCTGACCAATATTTTACACATTGAAGAAGGTAATCCGGATTATCTACGAGGAAGTCCAGAACTTATAAACTTTAGTAAACGGCGAAAAGTGGCAGAAATAACTGGAGAGATTCAGCAGTATCAAAATCAACCGTATTGTCTTTTAGTGGAGCCTAGAATAAGACATTTCATTGAAAATTTATCACCTTTTGATCCTAATATGAAAGAAGCCGATATAAGCAATTATTTGTATAATAAAAGTTTAGAAGTAGAACCCAGAGGTTGTAGACAACCTCCTAGAGTTGTAAGTTTTTTTTAAATTGTTACAATACAGCATGTGTATAATAATATTATCATTTTTATTAATTATTATTTTTTTTGTAGTCTCGTAAATGGCCAGACTTAAACTTAAAATCACCAGGCATTAAAGCTAGAAGTTTAAGCGGTAAATTACCAGCTCCATTGCAAGCTGTAGCTTCAAGTGTTAGATTACACGATCCTCCTCCGGAAGCTCCACCACCAGAATTACCAGAAACTCCTCCACACACTTCACATATTATAGTTTCTCATGTAGGGGACCACACTGTCTTTGCACCTGTATTACTAGGAGGTTTGTATGCTATAATATTGAATTTAGCATGCGCTTTTTACAAATTTTATTTCTTCTAAATAAAATTATTTTTATTTTTTTATGTAGTATGCTTAGATAGATAGTAGATGTATGTTACTATTAATACAGGTACAGCTCAACCTCCAGGTTCACCAGGTCCTCTCAGTATGTCGGGACTTTCGATCAGCTCACCAGGTAGCAGTCCACAGTTAGGATCACCTGGTCATTTGCCAGTTCCGCATCATCAACCACAGAATCATTTTGGCTTTAATTCTGGTACAATAGGTGTAATGGGAGCTTTAACTGGTATGCCATCATCAAGTGGAAGTCCTAGTGCTGCTATGCCACCTCCTCCTTCTCCTAGCCACATACCTGCTATTCAACCTCCGCCTCCTTTGCCACCAAGATCTCATAGGAAACGAGAAAGTTCTATTAGTGAGTCACCACAACAGGTAAATTATTAAAAAAAATTTATTTAATTTATTTTTTATTTAAATTATGTATTTTATATTATAACATGTTTTGTATCATTTATTTTTGGATATATAGGCGAGACAAGCTCCAAATGCACCAATACTTCCTCCACGAGATGGTACGTCTCCACCACCATTACCGCCACGAAAAGATTTACCTCCCGTGATGTTACCACCTCGCCTTCCTACAACGTTAAATCCAAGTTGTTCAGCGTTACTCGCTAGGCGGAATTCGACGTTAGAAAACACGTGTTCGAGTACTGTCACATCACTTCATCCACGAAGACATATGTCTTTCAATGGGCCCAGTCCTACAAAACTTCCACCTACGCAACCTAATGGTAAAAATATTAAATTATATCAAGAATTTCCTCATATAAAATTGGAAATCTTTATATGATTTATATTTTAAATTTTATATTTTAATATTAAATTTTCCAAATTCATCTTGCATATAATTATTTCATTATAATTTTTTTACAATATTTATGATGAATTTCAGGATCGGTAACACCAAGACTACCGCCAAAACCATTGCCGGGACGTCCACCAACTACCATGTTTAATTTCAATGCTCCTCCTGGATCTAGTTAAGTGTTACATCTTCCTACCTCTTACCTAAATTAAATCGCATCTTTTGGAATTTAGAAATCGAAATTTAGTCCACTCAGAAAGATTAGTTGAATCGAATATTTTGCTTGTACAGTATATTTTACAAATTCATACTGTTTACGTAACATTTTTACAAAAAAATTTCATAGGAATGCATTCAAAATTCCATATTAATGTATTTACCACAATTTTTTAGCCAAATATTTGAAGCATAATTGGTAAATGCATTGATGCGAGAGAATAATTCAACGAAAATTTTATCGTGATATAACTTATACGTGATGAGATGCTGTTACATTCCTTTTTACAATTTGTCTTTTTAATATATGTGACATATTTTTATTGAAAGTTTATTTTTCGAAAGGATATAGAATGTTTTATCGCATATAGTATATTTTTAGAGGTTTTTTTACCAAATGACTATATAGTGACTATATAGTAAATATAAGGCTTTATATCCTGTTCGATTGAATAAACTAAGTTGAAGCTATTCATCTTTGAAAGATATCTAAAAATGAAATTTGTACAACAGTTTGCCTAACTAAAAAAATATATATATATATATCAATTTCTGTTGTTCAAATCTACAAAATATTTTTATAAATTAACAGAAGAGAATTGCTTTGATAATTTTGCATATCTGAATCATGTATCGCAATATAATGCATGTTAGTTCTAATTCACATACTGATAAAAATAAGCAAAAAAAAACCAAAATTATTTCTGCAATAATATAGGGGCGAAAACATTTATTTACAAAAAACATCTTATCTAATAACTTTATCACACGTATGCATGCGTATACACGTATATGTGTGTGTGTGTATATATATATATACACATACATACATACATACATACATACACTTTTTTGTATGAAATGCCCAAAAAAATGTAAATTTAGCACAAACAAAGCAATAATATTACAAGAATATATATTATTATAAGATGGATCGCTACAAATGATTTTATTCGTAGAAAATTTAGAATAAAAAAAAAGCAAATAAGAAAACATGAAGATTGTTTCTCATTTTTAAAATTGCACATGAAATGATAAATTATATTTTTATGATTTGTCATTTAAACGCCTATAACGATATATTTTTAAAAAAAAATGTAAATGATTGTATAAATAGGATAAATATTGCATATTATAACATTATAAACAGATTGAGGAATGTAGGATACATTTCATCGCATTCGTTTACTATTTATTTAGAATTATAGTTAAAAAATTTTAAATTCATGTGTCCATCAGATCCGGAGATCTGACTGAATGGACTATATATCGATTTCAGTCATCCGAATGGTCTCCTTTTCTTTAAAACAAGAAAAAAGTAAAAAAAAGATCCCTATCTATCCCTCAACACAACTGTGATACACTTTTAGATTTTAAAAAGGAAGCAGAAGACGCAAGAAAGTGCAGTATGGAATGAATTATATGCCAATATGCATATAAAATTATACATATAAATCGTGAATCAATAGCAAAAAAAAAAGTAAATATGTACATGTATATTATTATAAATATATTCTATAGTAATTATTGTAATAATGTCAAGCATAAAATGGAGAATGAAATATTGAAATTATGTACAATAAAGAGTATATTGTGTAAATTTTGAGAAAATCCTTTGTCCTTTACATTAAATATTTAACAGCTGATGATGAATGATAACAAGCAATAGAAACACACAATTCGACTATTATTTATATTTTTTATTAACCGGTACTTTCATATTTCTATTATGTAATATTATGATTTAAAAATTATTTAAAGAAGTATAATTATAGAAAATAGAGTACCATATTCAATGTATTATAAAAGAGGTTTTTTTTAATTACGTATATATTAATACTGAAAGTATTATATAAGTCACACATATATTTAATCGTATGATCAAATGTTAAAAATTTTTAAAATGATTTTTGGTATATCTTTGAAAAGTATTGATATACATTTGGCATTTATTACAACATCACATGTTAATTTGATTGTTTTTTGTTTCTTATTCGCATATTTTATGCAATTTTTTAAAATATCACAATTAGTGTTTTATTTATTTGTACTTGTTATTCCAATATTTATATAGGATTTTTCTATCAGAAATATTATTTACATAACGATATAAGTAAATAGTTTTTGTATAAATAAGCGAGGTATTTAAAAAATATTTTTTAAGTATCTCTAAGAAAGTAATACAATCTATATATCTACGAATCTATTTTAAAATCATGTTACCTCCCACACAGTCGAACCGTCACTGTTTCTATTGTGTCTGGAAGCTACATCAACATGGGCATCTAAGCCATCACTTAATTTACTAAAGCGTCTTGCCCAACTACCTCTACCACCACCTGCAGCTCTTCCAATGGTACCTGCTTCTCTAAGCATCGATAAAATATCATCATCATCTTCTCTACTTTTTATACCTTTTTCATACTTAGCTTCTTGAGCAAGTAAACGTTCTCGTTGAAGTTGAGTTGCCAAAGAACGAGGCACGGCTGGTATCACATAACTCATTATGCCAGTTAAAGCGAAAACAATGTGTTCAAAAACAACAACGAAGGCTAAACGAGCTGCGAAAACATGCCAATATTGTGGGCTTAGTCCATATGGATCGTTAGCATGGTCCGGTCCATTTCTGTAGCCTCTATATTGACATGTTTCCGGATGACGAGTATCCATATCGCTTTTCATATCATCTCGATAATCTGATGTATTAAATTCTGATAAAGAACTATCAATATAACCCACTAAATCTTCTGTGGGTGAGTAAACGATAGCATATACGCTACGAGGGATGAAATCTGACGTGTATGCAATAACGAATGCATTCGATACTACAGCAACATAAGTTACTCCACGTAATATACCATACCAAGCTCCTATATCTTGTACTCTTTCTGCTAATGGTCTTCTCGCTTCTTTTACCATTTTATATGCGTCTAGTCGTATTTCAGCTATATTGTTTAATAACGCAAACAATGGTGCTAACGGGAATGCAGCGACGAACAAAGTCACAAATCCATATTGTAAAATCATTTCCAAATATTCATCAAAGAGCGCGAGTCTTCCAGGGTCTTGCAATTGATAATCTTTCTCCCAGTAAGTGTATGGTCTGCCATGATCTTTCGTAGCAGCAATATGATTTCTTTTACGCCACCAATTCCACATTTTTGGTGATAATATTTCTACAAAATTATTGAAACATTGCTTGCCTACCATTATAATAGCAAGTTGTATACAAAGTTCCGACAAACATCCAGCTGGATCGCACACGTCTGTTTTTATACGAGAAAATTCTGTAGCTCTTGCATCGGCATCTCCAGGATGAACATAAAACCTTCCTTTAAAGAAGGCTATATAAATAAGGGATGAATAGAAATTGACAAATTCGAACAAAAATATCTTGAATGTAAAACTAGATTCGTATTCAGTCTGTGTTCTAGGATTTTCCATGTTCACCATCCATCGTGCTAAACGATGATACACTCGTGTAAGGATCATAATAATCACTAAATTAATAAGGGCAGCAGTCATAGAGGTGAAAATCTTTGCGTGTTTCTGTAAAAATGGACCTCCACCTTCATAAAATACGGATACTAACGATATTCGAGAAATAATAGTTCCCAGTACAGCACCCAAAACAACGCATATCTAAAATTTATTATTTAAAATTTATTATAATAAAATTTATTGCAATAAATGTCACGAGATATATAATTACCATAAAAAATACTATAGAACCCGTGGCACAAGAACGTAAAGCTTTAGACCATACTGGTAAGTAAGGTTCTCTTTCTCTGGTCACAGGATTTATTCGAAATGTTTTTACCGTAGTTTCAAACTCAGGTCGAGGTTCTTCTTCACTTTCAACGTTTTGAAGATCCCATTCCCAAATTATCACAGCTTGTCTTCGTTTCCATAATTCAAGAAATGTCGTGGCTAAAACATTGAAAAAAAATAAAAAATATTCTTTATGACATTAAATTATATATTATACCCCAAAAAAAAATAAATTATATAGCATACCCCAAAACGACATAAAAATAGCAAAGAAGACAGTAGCAGGATTATCGAATAAATAAGTTAATTTTGAAAATAAGCAGGATTCGCCGAGTCTTTGATAGGTACATGCTTTATCGCAGACAGGACATAATGTAATATTTCCTAAGAGAAATGATTTTTGTTAGTAAAATGAGAAATTATGAAATAAGATTAAGATATAAAATAAAAATACCTGCTATATTATAATCACATATTTCTCTACTCGGTACATTGTCAGGTCCATCCATACTTCCTACGCCATACATAAAACACAAAAGGCCAACAATCGCTGGTGCGTATAAACATTTTGTGTAAAATCCTAGCCATGCAAAATAAAGAGCTACTTTTTCTCCAAAGTATCGTCTGATTAACCATAGAGGTTGTCTTTTGTACCTAAGAAGAAATAATAAAGATAGAAAATAGATATATAAAAATTATTTAATAAAATACAATCATTTATATTCGTAATATTATTCATAATATAATTAAATAAACTAAAAAAATAAGTAATAATAAAATTACCATTGCGAAGGTCTAGCCCATATTAAGTATAATAAATATCTATCTAAATTTTCACCATTTAATCCAGGTTTATTATATGGACCCTCATGCAGAGAATAACAATCAAGATAAGTGCCATCTGCTAAAAGTCTTCGGATACCTGCCTTTTCGTGATTTTCATCATATCGTGCTCTTAATAAAATTTGCATTACTATTAAAGATCTTTGAGCAGGAGTATAAGCTGTATCTCTATCTTTTACTACAAATCTATAAAAATATAATATATATAAGTAAATAAATATTTAATTTATTTTACATTTTTACCTTTCTTCTCGATCGCCAGAATCAATACTATCATAAAAGCTAGGTTCTTCCGGATACTTTTTTGTATCCCAAGTATGTATCTCTTTTATCCATTGTATCCATCTTTCCCAAAATTTCGGACTTTCTTTTACATCCTCATTGCTTTGCTAATAATAAAATAATATAAATAAATATTAAAATTATTCATTAAAAGATAAAAATTTCCTTTAAGGGACATTTTAAATTAGAAAACTACATTGATATAAATATAAGTAATTAAATTTTGAAAAATTTCATAAACTTACCCAAGCTTTAACAGATATAGTGATAAATCTTTTAGTGGGTAATTTCAAATTCATTACTTCAGCATATTGAACCTTAATTTTCCATGGAATGTGCAACTTTAAGAAATAAGTTTTTCCGTCAAAAGAATTTTCTTTTGGTTCTAATTCTAATTGCAAACCTTCTTTTAATAAATTCTGTTGAAAAACACGTCTTTGCTCCTTTCGACGCGCTTCTAATTCAGTCATTACTCCATTATTTTCTTCGTGATATACTAAAACCATATCAATGCGTCTACGACCATCTCTGCAAGTAATATATATATATATATATATATATATGATATATATGATACACACACACACATATATATATGATGTGTTATTATCGTATCTAATAAATTATAATAATTAAAATTTATTGTTAATTGTTATTAATCAAGAAATATTTCATATTAGATTTTCCTAAAAGATTATTAGAAACTTCATTATTTATAAACTAATATCATAAAGTAAATTATTTCAAGATTATTTAAAATAATTTTAAAGTTTAATAATTTAAAGTAATTCTATAAATTTATTTCATATTTATTTATCATAAAATTACTTCAGTCATTTCATTCCCAAGTCGTTTTAAGTTTTTTGAGGACGTTTTTAAAATTTTTAAAATGAAGATTATTTTATTTCTTTTATTTTTTCGATTTAAGATGATTTTAAGATCATTTATACTAATTTAAGATTTTTTTAAAATTGTTAAAGATTTTCAAATATCATTTTTATAATTTCTATAATTTCTATAATTTCTATTTAATTTAAATTATAATTACTTAAATGTTGTTTAATTTTATTTTAAAATTATCAAGGAATAAATAATTTCTTTGAAAAAGAAATGAGATTATTAAATATATATTAGGATTCTTTTAAAATAATCTAATAATAAAGAAAATAGATAATATCGTTAAATCTAAAATTAAATTAGACACGAACGAAAGAAATCAGATAAACATATTAAGACATAAAATCGCAATAATCTAATTCGCTGGTCACGCAATAAGAAAATTAATTATATAAACTTTTTTTATACATCGTGGCTTTTGTAATATCACATATACATATATTATTTTCTAATAATAATATCCTTGATAAGAATATTCTAATATAACTAGCTATTTTTGTCTGTTATACATATTGTTATTTTTTTTAAACTACTAATTAAAATATTAAAATATAACACAACAATAAAATATTATATATTATAATAATATAATTTAATAATATATATTAGAATTAAAATTCTAATTATGAATAAAATTAATTAATTTAATTTTGAATTTACTTTTTTATAAGAAAAAAAATAAAATCAAATTAATCATAATAAATCAAAGAAAACTAGTTAGTTAAAAAAAATTAATTGATTACGAACTAATGTCATTACAGACCGGAAATAAAGTGTTTCAGGATCTATTTCTGTTTCTGAAGATGAATCCTTTTGTAACAAAGAATCTCTTGGTACATCATTAGAAAATATTGGTGTTCCTGGTAATGGTGGTGTATCTTCTGGTGTCGTTGGTACTGTAAGTTTAGGACCTATTAAGGATAAAAACATTTTCAAACTAATTTAAAACTTTAAAATTCAATATATTAATATGTAACTATCTGTAATTATGTAACTATTTGTAAAATAATTATTCTTTAAATAATTGCCATATATAAAATAAATAGACTTTATATAAAAATATTATTTTTCCAAAAAAATATAATTGCTTTTGAATTTATAAATGAAATTGTCAGCATCTGTTGCATGAAATTTTAATCTGTTATTATACCTTACTTAAATTAGTTAAATAAAACTAATCAACATCCTTTTACCTTGAAGATCCAGATCGCGTAATAAATGTATATTCAATATCGCGTATGTCATATAAATTTTAAAGTAATATAAAGGATATAGTAATCATCATTAAAAGTTTCATGTTATATAAAATCAAAAAGAAAGATAATAATAAGAGACACGTGTTGGTTTGACGATGGTCCGATAGTCATAAAGTCTTTACGGTTGCGATGAAGTTACGGATATATTATTCATATCTATTATTCGTGACACACTGACATTCATATATATATTGATCGTAGTTTATTGACTTAGGCCTATTTCAACTATAAGGCCAACATGTAATTGCAAATACTTATTCCGATTATATATATCGAATGCTTTTCAAGTTCTTCTTAATTAATTCGAATGTTCTTTATATATTTTTTAAATATAAATAGAAAAAAATTAAAAAACTTTTACATCTCAAATAATTTAAATAAAAAAAGTTAAAGAAAAAAGAAATAAAATGAAAAAAAAAAAAAAGAATCAAAAATTTATTTGAATCCTACCAAAAGCGTCCCGAGCAGTCAAATTTGTTCCCGATGGATAAATATTGGTTCTAGATAATTTCTTGTTAATTTTTGGCGATTCATTTGATTGAATACCATTTTTATTCATTTCGTATATTATTTCTTTGTTATTTCCAATTTTTACGCTTTTGTTCATAGTAGGAGAATTTGATATTACTGAAGTTGTTTTTTGGGGTGAAGAACTAGTTGATGATGCTTTCGATGGTGAATTCCTCGTTCCCGTTGCATTCACATTTGTTTGAGATTCATTTGAGCTTGATTCGGTAATAATTGTATTGCTAGTAGACAAACTTTGCCGTCTACTGTGATTATTCTAAACAAATAATTTTTATTAATTATATTTTATCCAATATATATTTATTAAATTATTAAATTATTCATTCGTTTTTCAATAAATTAGAATTATATAATGTTTTATTATTTTTCGATAGTTATTTTGTTAGTAAAATCTTCAATTAGTTATGTACATTAATATGTTGTTCATATTATCTAACTTATTATTATTATGAATTACTAATAATTTAATGATATGAAATATTTATTCATAGAAACATTTATCACGTAAATATCTTTCATTTGTATTGCATAGCATATTATAGAATAAATAATGCGTGACTAGTTTAATAATCGATTATTTACGTGCATTTTATTCGAAAGATTCATTGATTAGATCAAGATAAAATGACGAAGCAATTTTTAAAATATTCATTGTTTTTATTCATAATAGTATCATTAAAAGTTCATATAGATCTTTTATGTGTAGATCGTAAAATAGATCATAAAATTTATTAACGAGAAAATAAAAAGAAAAAAATAAATAAAAAATAAAAAAAAAGAATATAGAAATATGATACCTGTGTTTCATCTTCGACTTGAAGCTCACTATTATCCATTGCGTTCAATTAAATTTAATAAATAATGCCAAAAAATTCTCTGTCACCGATGATATTTAAAAAAAATGCACATTTCGCGACAATCTTGATCAATATTGTCATTCTGTACATCCAAATGATAGAATGCTCTTTTTTTTAACTAAGAGTAAGTTCAATTTTTTCATTTTAATGATATTAATTTGCAACACGTCAATAATGAAAATCAAAATACCACAACTTTTTATACAATCATATTATTAGTATTGAATGATAATAATTTTATAAATGTTTTCATATTTTCATGGCAATTATGCAAATTACAGAGATTGAAGAATAAACAAAAAACTTATTGAATTGTTATATGTAATATTACAATATCAGAACTGTAAATTCTTTCTTAATAACAATTTTTCTTAGAAAGATTAACTATTATGAAATTAAATGCAACTATATTCATCAATAAATGTTTTTTTAACTTATAATTTTATTTCACTTGCTAATCGATCGATAATGTATCGATAGAAAACGATAAATCGATGAAAAGTTAGATTCCGATTCGATCGACATTTACATGTACAACTCATGATAATCACATCTGATCAGTCGTCGAATAAATGGAAATCGATCATAGGCTGTCATTTAGCCTCTCTTTTTCAATTATGAAATAGTAGTCTGCTATTTTATGATTATCACTTTTTCCAATCCGAAAAGATTTGAATATATTTGGTCCATCAGAAAAAATATAAATATTCCAGTTTTTCATATTTGATCTTCAAAGTAAATCCATAAATTCGTTGCACGACATGATATCTTTAGATAATCACGACCTCTATAATTGATATTTCAAAATGCATATATTTTGTACCTATGTAGGTACTTTGTCGTATGTTTTTAATCAGAACATTTTATTACATATTTCTTCTTTATTTAATTTCTATTTTATTGTCAATTTAATTGCTAATTATTTATATAATTTCATTGTCTTCTATAATTCGTCTTGATTAATAATTTCAATCATTAATAATTTATAATTTTAATTGTTGATATCTTATGCATTTGCATAATATATATCTCATTATTGGAGAACAATAATTCTTAACAAATAACTGACAATAATTAAGAAAAAAAATTGATGTCAATTCACAGTATGAAAATCGACAAAATATAAATCTCTAAATATCTCTAAATTAATTAACATGTGTGATCACATATCACATTTTTTAATCTTTGGCTTTTTTCTTTCGATTATTGTTTAATTATTGTTTTGTAATTTTATTAAAAATGAATCACTTTTATGTATACAAACTATTTCTTCATAGCTAGAAATGTTAAAAACTATTAATATTGCCCACAATCACTAAATAATAATTGTAATTAATTGTGTTTTTTTTGATTCTTAATTCTTAACATAACAATTTTTGTCACTTTTTTTAAAATTCTGTAAGATATTCTTAATTTTCAAACGATGTTTGATTAGTCAGATGATGCCGGTAACTTCCACTGCAATACTGTGACACATACTGACCTCCTCGTGGTAGGATGATACTTATATGTTGTACACATGATCATGCGTATGTTATTTACGAATACTAACTATATACATGCCTTTGCATGAACAGGACATATATCGCAAACATGGTTCGTATTTCAATATTCTTTTACGTTCAAACTATATACATATATATTGTATAATTTAGTAATTTTATTTACAAATATAACGAATGACAATGAGTGTTTCTCATAGATTTATAATCATCACATTGATATATTATGTTTCTTGATAGCTAAACTTTTAAAAGATATAATTTTTTAAATCGTTTTAGATTGAATATCTTTCCGTTTATATGATATACTATTTATATTATGTAAGTACAAATATAAATGTTCACACACACGTATTAACACATAATATTCAACTTACGTTCTATACATTGCTTGACATATACATTAGTTTGCGTAGTATTAGTATGAACGTAATGACACTAGCATGTCACACATAAAAGATCATCAAGGATTTTAACCCTTGTATAGGTATGCAATAGAGAAATACACGGGACAATGAGGTTTTCGAATCTCTATGGTTACCGAATAAGCACAACATATGTTATGTATTACGAAGTGGTTCTTTTATGAACTTGAAATACCAACAGAAGGATAAGCGTAAGTTCACACGCAACATCGACACTTAAGAATAACGAACTTTGCTAATAATGCTTTTTCTTATTATTATGCTTAGTTATGCTTTTTTCTAATAATTAAGAAGTTTTTTATTTTTTATTTTTTAATGTAGAATATCTATTATCTTTATATTATATTATTTTTCATGTAAAAATAATTATAAAATAGAAAATTTATAAAATGTTACACTAATAATTAAAAGATATATTTTTTTCGGATTTTTTTTTTTTTTT